GGTAGGGAAAAACCCCACCCCCCCCCCCCCCCCCCAAAAAAAAAATCGCTCGTGTTAAAAAATAATGTATATCCTCTTGTGTTGGTTAATTTGCTGAATATAAACCCCATAATTAGCTATCAAATTACTCAATAATTATGAGACAGTACATGGAACCCAAACCGGTAAAAATTAAATACCTTCCAAATTTGTAACGTTCAATAAAATAAAAAAATTGTAACGACATTGTATATCTCTCCCCCTCAATTAGGGCTGGTCATAAGCTTTCGGCACCCTCAGTGAACTCTCAAAACAGACTAATATTCACACAAATCACCCCAGAAATATACATTTAAGGGTTAATGTAGGTATATTGTTTAGTTTTGATGTGGTCCAAATTTTTATTTTTATTTTTATTTTAATGTTTTCAAAAATTTCATATGGCTCAAAATTTAGAAAATTTTGGTGTCATGAGCCCATGTCCTTCGGTTTCCATAAAATCTCTCCAAAAAGCCATGGCCTTGGGCCGGCCTGGCAGCCCTGTAGGGGTGGGCACAGTACGGTATGGTACGGTATTGAGCCCGTACCGCTATCGATACTAGAAATTTAAATCGGTATGGTACGGTATGAGATTATGGTTTGCCAAAACTGGTACCGTATCGTACCGTGCCAAATCGGTATTGGTACGGTATTGGTATCATTTCGGTACGAAAATGATACAACTAAAAAAGGAACCAATTCAATATTCAACACCAAAATAAGTGATGCCTAAGTTACAAATTCAAAGATTCAACATATTCAATATCCAAATCATAATCAACATATTCAATATCCAAATCCTAATCAACATATTCAATATCCATCAACATATTCAATATCCAAATCAACCAAATCGATATTTATCCATCAACAAATTCATCAAACCCAAATGGTTAAACTCATGCCTTATAGCTTACAAACCAAAATAGTTAAAATTATGTCTTATGGCTTACAAAAATACAAACACAACCCAAACATAAATAACAAAAACATAAAGTTATACCATTCAGTACAGTACGGTATTGACCGGTACCAAAATCTTGATACCGCTACCATACCATATTCTATTGGTACGGTACAATACGGTACCGAATATATCCCCATACCAAATGAAACGGTATGAAATCGGTATGGTACGGTGCGGTTAGGGTACGGTTTTGGTATTTCGGTTTAAGATGCCCACCCCTACTTTATTATATACAACTGGAAATATCAAATGTACTTCCTACCTTAATCCGATTATGTATGTACTTAGGGGCCGAAATGTATTGGATCAATTTTACTCTTAAACTGCGGACAAATTAATTTCAATACAATGGTTTGATTCAGTTCGATTTTAACAATAATCACTGAGAAAACCGAACTAAATCAAGACAATGTTGAACAATTTGGGTCCGGCCATTTGGTCTAAGCCCAAACCTTTTTCTTTTTGCATTTTTTCAAATTTATTAACCGAAGTACAACAACAAAAAATTCTATAACCTCATACATATTTTTCATTTTCCTACACGTTAAACCATCCTATATTTCAACATATCATCTGCCTTCAGAGTTCATTACTGTTTGTGCAAATAATCTCACGGGAGAATATTCGCTTCTAGATCCTTCAACCTTCGATCTTCCTTCTCTTTCTTCCTCGATTCCTGTAAAACAGATTGGAGTAAATAGACCACACCCGGGGGGTGTTGGCCAAAGGCCCTCCGATGCCTAAGTTAGTTCGAGTGTTTGTGGAAAAACAATAGCTAAGCAAAGGGTACGGAGTAGTGTTTATGTAGGGTGTGAACCGGACGGCCGGAGCCGTGTGTGGTGGCCGGAGCCGTGTGGAGAAAATATAGAGAGTGGAGAGGGAGAAAGAGCTTCGGGTATTTTTCTCGGGTATAAGGAGTAGGTTTAGATGTACCTTGAATGATGAATGAAGTCATCTATTTATAGGAGCCTCGGGGCTAGGGTTTCGTAGAGAATATGCTGAGTTTATTCTCTACCCAAATTCGTAGGGATCGAGTCGGACTGAGATAATATCTGATTTAATGATATTTAAGATATTTATCCCAGTTAATTAATTGGCCAGATAAACTGGTTCAATTAATTAATTAGAAGAGATAATCTTCTTTTCCACGTGGCGCGTTGTGATTGGAGACGAAAATATCTGCTCCCACAATTACTAATATAGTTACAATCAAATATCAATAACTTCAATGTTTCATAGAACTACAAGTGTAAACTAAAATAATCTAAGTGAATATATATATATATAAGTGTTCATTTTGATTTAAATTTAGCTCGGTTTACAAAAAGCTCAAAATTTCAACTGAATCGAACCATAATGATTTGGTTTGGTTATGAATTATGTGACTTCTTTTTGGTCAAAACAAATTAGACCCATCAGCCAATTTGGTCGGTTCAGTCGAATTAATAACCACCCCTATATGTGAACATTTACTTTTATTTAACATATTTTAAATAATAATGCCCCTTAGAATTAAATAAAATGCGGAACTCACCCATTTCCAATTAAAAAAATATTAGAAAATACTTGATAATTTCTTCAATCAAAATGTTAAAGAATTACTAATCACACATGACTTGCATGTAAATTAAACATTAAACTATCAAGGACTCGTAACTCAAGTAGAACATTCAGTTGTTAATTATTTCCAAGGCATGCATGCATCCTCTCATTGTCTGTGAGTTATCTCATTTGGATGTTAGTTCTTCAAATCAATCAAAACCAAGCTGATATTAGTGCATATTTAATTTTAAGTATTCATTACTTGAAATTAATTGAAGGTGGTAAATATTATTAGATTTTGGATATGACAAGTACCAGTATAATGTGCTGGAGGTGAACGAGACAAGTTATGAAAAGTGCATCGACAAAGATTTCATAAAAAACATAACAGGTGGTGCGGGAAGAGATGTGTTTAATCTCACACAAACAAAAACCTACCACTTCCTTAGCAGTGGGGGCTATTGCTTTCAAGGGTTGAAGGTTGCCGTCAACGTCCTCCGACCAATGCCGCCTGCCCCGGCACCGACGTCTACTTCTACTACTACTACTTTTTCTTCATCACTGCTCCTCCTCCTGTTGCTGCTTTTAATTATAATTTAGTACTAGTGCTTTGCTATTCATTTTGAACATTTGAACATTTGGAAGGAGCGTTTTGTTTGAATTTTTACGCAGTGAATTTGTTTGATTGCATTAATATGATTCTCCGCAAGTCTTTAAATTTTGCAAAACATGTTAAGACTGGTTGTTACACATTTTCTTGGAGGTTTCTTGAGCTTTCTTTTGGCAGGATATTACACATTAAATATAGTTACACTGTAAAATGTGTGCATGTACAGTTATTAATAGTGAATTTGTTGCTTCTGTAGACATATTGGTCTTTGGGTGAAAACAGGATTTGAACTGTATGAGATCTAATGTTCTACTGTTCTTTACTAGCTCAGAAATCCAAAAGGAACTCGAAATCATCCAGGAATTAAGACAATTAAATTTCACTAAAATAGTTTCATTATAGGACTTGAAGTATAAGGGAAGAACGTAATATAGCTATAGTATTTTTATGAAACCGATTGATTAGTATATTTTTTTGATATCACGTATATGCTTTTAATAATTCAGAAATAAAGATAAAAGTAAAAAAAGAGTTCAATGAAGTAAGAAATCCTACAATTAATTACACCTCGAAAGCCCTTGATAAGGAACTATCATATGAAATAGAATCATATGATTCGAGCTGTTTTTTTTTTTTTTTTAATTGACAAGGTCTAGAGAGTTTTAGTGGGTAAAGGGAAGATACCAACTCTAGAGATAGAAAGGATGATAGAAGAACTATTCACAATGATTTGGTTTGCAACATACAAAGCATGACCTGGTAGTTATGCTGAAGAAAAGACAAACTTCATCCAATATGATCCAACATGATATCTTTATTTCTTGAGCACACATCAAAGATTTTCGTGTAGAGTTGTAAAATCGATAATTATAACATAAAATTGCATAAAGGGTCATCTTTTTACACACCTTTAGGATGATCAAGCCCAAAGAATCATGCTCAACAGGTACAACAATAACAACATAACATACCCCTTTTCTCATTTTTCTGGTACCTTTTTGCGTGAGACATGCATGCGCTGCTACCTTTTAAGCATGGAGGGTTTATTTTAGCAAGGCCATAAATTAATCCACAGAGAGAGAGAGAGAGAGAGAGAGAGAGAGAGAGAGAGAATGGAGGGTTTGAAAAGTAGAGTTAGGTGGTTGATGATTTTGATGGTGATGATTAGAGTGCTGCATATTGAATGCAGGCAGCCCGTGCTTCATAGAGTTGGAGGGGGAAGGTTCACTTGGGCTCCCAATATTGACTTCACAGAGTGGTCAAGTCAGGAGAACTTCTATGTGGGTGATTGGCTTTGTAAGTTCCTCTCTCATATCACAAACATCAGATTGATTTTTACCTCCAATATAATAATTTTCTAACCTTCACAAGCAATTTTCTGTGTCCAATTAATCCAGATTTTGGGTTTGACAAGCATATCTACAATGTTCTTGAGGTGAACAAAACTAGCTATGATAATTGCATTGACAAAGATTTCATTTATAATGTTACAAGAGGCGGGCGGGACGTGTTTAACTTGACGGAGGCAAATACATATTTCTTTCTCAGCGGCCGAGGTTACTGCTTCGAGGGTATGAAAGTCACTGTTCAAGTTCGGAAAATCCCAACAGAACCACTTCCGCTTAACCATGGTTTTCGATCATATGTCTACATCCATGCTATTCTACTAGCAATGCTTGCCACTGCCTGTGCATGCATAATTCCCTTCTAGTTAAATGGCATTCCCAGCATGCATGAATTGAGATAGTAGGAGCAAATATACTATAGCCTAGCTAGCCTCTAATATGGTAGATGCAATGGTTCTTAAAACTCTAGTTACTTAGTAGTTTTTATGCAAAGCCGCTACTTTGCATCTAAAGAGAACACAAGGAATGATATTCAAAATAAGGTAAAGCTATCAAAGACGTACCCCAAGCCATACAAAAAAACTACTAATTTCGAACTTCGCATCAATAACCTACTAATTTTCTCGTGCCCCGATTGGCTAGCAGAGCTTAAAGCATAAATTTCAACTGGCATCGCAAATAAGCAAACTAGGTTCATACACCTCAAATTGCATACTCTAGACACTTCAGCAGAGCACAAGCCTGGTGCTAAAGGAACAAACCAAACCCTTAAGACCAACCACAAAATACACAAATGCCATAAAATACACAAATGCCAACAGAAATTGTCATAATCCCATAAGTTTGGCTACACACGGTCAATATTAAAGGTCAACCAGCATTTAAAGCCTGACAAACGCAGGGTACTACTACACTAATGCAAGCTTACTACCGTTGGTTCAAACCTCCTATGGTGGGAGGCTACACAAAAAACTATATACAAAGTGTTCTGAGAAGGTAGTCTTAATATGCTCAAGGCTGAGAGTTCTCAGCAGAAAAACATGGAACTGGACACATTCTCCTTAAGCCTGGGCAGTTGAGGGACAGGAACTGCTCCAGCAGAGGTCACACCGCCATGGCTCGAGGATGTCTCAGATGCATCTTCAAATTTCATGAACTGTCCCATCTGAGTGGCGGCCAAGTGAGCATAGCAAACGGGAGCAACTGAAAAGAAAAATATTAAATCAAAGGATTAAAATTTACTTAAAATTCAATAAGATCAAAGGATCTCATTTGCAGCTTGGCATGTTACGATGCCAATTATAATGACAGCATAAATATCAAGGAGAGGATTGCAGTAGGATCAGAACAAAGTAACACCAACTTACCTACAGAAATGGCAGTGGTACTTCTTTGGTATCTGCAATCATGACAACTATGATTCAGAAGAATCCTAATTATTAATTAAGGCTAAAAGTACGCAATAAATCCCATTCACTTACACATATGAAAGAGAATGCACTAGCTCCTGCAGATCATCTGCTGAGAAACCTACTTCGTCTAAAAGAACATGATAATGTGTAGGCCTTGTGGTCCCCTTAAAAAAACAGGTTAAGAGCAAACCAAGTTAATATAACTTGTCATACTATTCCAGACAGCAGATAAGTAGCAAAAATAAGTAATAAGTACTGAACCATTACATCTGAGATTTAACTCTCCTACAATCATAGATTATTAAAACACTCACTTTCTGAGTGCTTTTATCATAGCTGTAGAACAAGATGGAAAGGTCCAGGCTTAAGTACTCAAATTTAGCTACTTTACAGCATCTATATGGTTCAAGATATATATATTGATACTCACAATCATTCCAGCTTGGGCACAGAGATAAAAGTCATTGTTTCTTGGATGACAAACTTTGTTGTCTATAATGGTTCCTGCAGAAACAATAAATAGTATAGGTATGTTGAATGATGTAAATTATTTAATTAGTGTGCTTGTGCCTGCCTACCAGGAGGAACATTGTCAGGGGAAGGAGGCTGAAAGAATTTGGTATGGTGGTTCTTCTGAGCAATAATCACCACAAATTTTGGGTTCCAGCTCTCATCGAGAAACTTGCATGCCTGACCAGAAAACAAAAATTGACATCATCTCCAAGTGGAGAACAATTCTGAAGGGCACAATGGTCAGTTCACAAAACCTCAATGATTTGATCCAGTTCAATGTTCAAAACTTGGTTGAATTGGGACTCGCTGACTCCATCCCTAAATCCAATATATAACTAGTCAACAACATGAAGGTATCAGAAGCAAAAGTAAAAAACTTCTAAGATGAATCAAACAGAAAAACCCACAGAACGTGATTAATCAACATGATCTAAATGTCAAATGTATAGCTTATTTATAAAAATTGTTCCAAAGAAACAGATGCCCATAAAAAATTATAAAATATAATTAATCAACACCTACCTGTTGTATTACAGAGTGCCCAATTTTCAATTGATAATTAAAGTATATAACGGAGTACCATACGTTGAACAAAGTTTATATAAGTAAAAAGCATTTAACTAAAACCAGTGATAAGCACTACCTAAGAAAGGGATTCATGAACAGATTTTAGTTGAAATACCAGGACTGCAGCTTAATACTCTAGTGTTTACTACTATACTAAAAAATAAATAATTGGAATGTGACTTCTAACTCATTGTGTCAGAAAACAAATACAACATTTTGAATATTTGGCATAGGAAAATTCAAAAGACTGAATGAAATTACTCATTTAAAAATTACCAATTTAACTCATACAAATACAATGTTTATCAGCATTTTGAAAATTTAACTCAGGAAATTCAAAGGACCGAATGAAATTACTGATATTGAAATAACCCTTTTCTACTGGTATGAAAGAGCATGAACAAGAAATTAGAAATTCACCCATACTATCATGTTTCTCTTTAAATCTTTCCAATCTGTGCACACTTCTTTATAGTACATCAACACACACATTATAATACTTGAGCTACAAAACTAAATTGCTATAAAAATAAATTACAAACAAGATACTTGAATGGTTCCGTTTCTTTCAAGTTCATAGTTTTAAGCAGCATTTCAGAAAATACAACCACAATTCATTTGACTTTAGGTTCTGTAATGTAAACATACCTGAATATGATGATCTGGTCTGGTTTCTGCTTGCCTGAACTTGTATAGAAGTCCAGAAGCAGCTCTCTGAAATTAGGGAGAAATTTACCATTTGTGTGGTTTGTAAAGTACATATGAAACCAAAATGTGAAACAATAATAAAACTGAACATTGGAAAAATAATGACTTTCTGCAAATCTTCTATCCTACCTCATAATGCCGTCATCTTCTAATTCAGAAATTCGCTTGTACAGGGAGTCTATCATCTCCACCTTGGGGGACTGTGTACGAACAGATGCCCTGTAGCGAGAAATCAGTGGCCATTGCCTGGAGCTGACCACCTTTAATTCCACCGTTGAACACACCATATTATAACAGATATCATTGTTTTTCCCATCAAAAGTACCGACATGTGCAGAGTCCAACCGAATTCAGTATAATAACAAAATGAAAGTACAAATTTATTGACATTTAATCCAGAAGATAAAACTTAAACAGCAGTTTACCGCAGCAATTGATGGCACATCAGACTGCCCAGGAGAGCCATGTGACACATCCATCCCAAGAATGATTGTGGGTGCCTTGGAAACCACAGGGATAGAAGGAGAATATTCAACCGCCAACAGTGAATTTAACCCACCAAGCTGCAAGAAATTACAAGGGCAGGTCAACAAACATGCGAATACAATGAAGAACAAATCCACTCATCCTAATTATTAACTGCTAGAAAGAGAAAGAACATGGCCATTACAATAACTCACCTTAGCATTGATCTTTAACAGAACATTTGTAAGGTATTGATCATTGACCCTTGTAGGAGCAAT